GTAGACTTCAATCATGGTTTCTCCCCTTAGCCTCACATTGGGGAGAAACCATGATTGAAGTCTACAAGACAAGGACCAGAATCTGCAGACCAATCAAAGGCCAAGTGGACCTGGTGGCTAATTCCTGAACCAGATTGCTTCCAAAAAAGACTGTTTAGCAACACAAGAGTTTTCAGTAAACTTTGAAATGCCAGAGACTGAAGTGATGCATCTAGTGCAAAGGATACGGTTTCCCTGCTGCAGGCCAGACATGTTAAGCTGCTGAATACTTGAGACAACTCCGCCTTTGCCTAAACCAGACAACCAGACATCAAAGTAAGGGAAAGTTTCCAGCTAAAAAAAAAAATTCTTTGTGAATCATTTTTCATCATTTACTCTCTTTGCTGTTGTCTATGACGAGTAACAAGATGGTGGTAAACCACACTTTACCACCTTTTATTCAGAGACGAATGTGGTACACTACAAAGCCAGCATTAACTAGAGGTCTAACTTTAATTAGCAAAGGCTCCAGTTTGTGAAACATGCCCTGTTTCGAAACATTCTTCTTTAACAGAAAAATAAAGCTTTATATTTCTTTCTGCACCATATGATATCACAGATTGAAGATATTCAGTGCATCTCAAGATCAACACAAGCCACTGTGAAGTGTCTTACTGTAAAAAATGTGTAGGCTTAGAGTGAGCTCAGAGGCGGGAGAGTGGGAGAAGGAGATGAGGAGGATGTCAATCTGTGTGGGATACAGGCAGAGAAGCTGCTGCAGAGCTCTGAGCAGAAATTAACCTCAACATGTTTCTTGTTTCTTATTCTAATCAAATAATCCACCAAGGTTATTTAAATTATTGAAATTTTAAGGAAAACCAATGTGTTTTAGACTCGTTATTTAATTGTACCATCTGGTTGAAAAAGTAGTCAATTGAAAGGTATAATGGAGAACTTTCGCAAATGTTTCAAAAGACCCACCCTCTCCACTTTTAAAAAACCCTGTACCCCCTAAGGAGAGGGAAGGTCTATTAAACACGTGCGAGAACATGCACAAGCCTGTTTCTCCTTGAGGAGGTTCAGGAATGCAATAATAAGTCGCTAAGATGGATCTCATCTCACTCATATTTATATATAAAAAGTTTCCCCACAAATAAGACTACTAATACATAAAAAAAAATAAAAATCATAATATGCTTGTACTGTATGTGTGTGTGGGGGAATTTGGACATGATTGCGGGGTAAATAAGGTTATGTTGCCACCGTATAACTAACTGCAAATACAAAAGAAATAAACCTATCTTCAAGTTACAATATAGAGGTAGATAACTTTTACTACCAGTGATGTGAAATGGATTTATCCAAATAGCATGCCAAACTTTACCTGTCGAGTAGAAACTTTGCAAGCAATGCATCCTTGGCAAGCCTGATCAGTGGTTTCAGTCTACACCATCGTGTGAAAGAATCTGAGAACTATCTCGTAAGATTCTTGATTGAATAAGGGTATCTCTCCACATGAGAAGGAGGTAAAACTGACTGCATTCAAA